TTCCTATCAAACATCTATCGTCCTTATCTCTCCTCCTTCTTTCCTATCAAACATCTATCGTCCTTATCTTTCCTCCTTCTTTCCTATCAAACATCTATCGTCCTTATCTTTCCTCCTTCTTTCCTATCAAACATCTATCGTCCTTATCTTTCCTCCTTCTTTCCTATCAAACATCTATCGTCCTTATCTCTCCTCCTTCCTTTTTGTGTATGTTACTCTCTCGTGACACCTCTACTCTTCGGCACTTTTATGTAAATTGAATCGATTGTGCCGTAAAACACCCAACTCAATCAATCAATTAAAAGCACTTATATGACCTTATTGTGTTGCAAGTGCCGTAAAACTCTTGCTAAAACTAAGGGAAAAGAAGAATGCTTTAGATAGCCGAGGAAAACCAAAATTTGATCACGCCAGAAAAGCTTTAAATATTTAAAGACAAGCTGAAAATCTTTCCATAAAATAATACTTCATGAAAATCACTCCTACCACGTATCGATACATACAATTTATTTGATCGAACGAATACTCGGTATCGATACCAGCCTGACATAAACAACAATGACCGAAAGTATTGTCCGCCCGGACGAGACAAGCCGAATCCTTGGGCCTTTTTTTTTTACATTCGATATTTTGGGATCTCTTTCTCTATCGTTTTTTCTTTTTTTTTCTTTTCTTTTCTTTCTTTCTTTCTTTGACTCTTTCTCTGATTAAACGTGATGAGGACGGCGTTTTCAGCTTAAGATGGGGGTTTTTTGGTGGGTTTTTTGTTTTCTTTTGTTTTTTGCTTTATGTGACTGGGGCATTGTCGAGCGGGTGGTTGGTGGGTGCTACTGGTGGGTCCTTTTTAAAAAAAATGTTCTTCTGTCTATAGGCTCTGTCTGTCTGTTAGCTTTCTCTTTTCCTGGAAGTATTTGACCTTTGTTATGTTGATGCGCTTCTCTTTACTTTCTCTCTCTCTCTCTCTCTCTCTCTCTCTCTCTCTCTCTCGCTTGCTCACCAGCTCTCTATTTGTGTTTCTCTTTTTCTTTTTCTTGCAATCTCTGTCTCTTTCCTTTTTCTCTCTCTCCCTCATTCGCTCTCTTCTATTATCATATCTCTCCCTTTCTCTACTGTAACTTTTCTTAAATAATTCTCTTCGCTTTTCTTCTGCCCGTGAAAAGAAGGGTTCAAAGTAAAAGCAATAGACAGACAGGCAGACAGACAGACAGACAGACAGGCGTTCCTTTTCGTGTGTACTATATGCTGGACGTGGATAATAGATCTATTAACACAGAGAGTAGAACATAATTTAAAAGCTGTATAAATAGGATGTCAGATAGAATCTTACAGATGTTGTTCATAGTAAGAAGAGAGACTGAAAAGAGAGAAGGGGAGGGGGGGTGGGGACAAATACAAGAGAGAGGGAGAGAGAGAAGGAGAGAGGGGGAAAGAGAGAGATACAGACAGACATACAGACAGACAGACAGACAGACAGACATACAGACAGACAGACAGACAGACAAACAGACAGACAGACAGACAGACAGACAGACAGATAGAGGGGGGGTGGAGATTGAGCGAAAGGTGAACTGATAAAACTTACAGACAGTAGTAGGGACAGAAAGGTTGGAGAAGTCAATAAGATAAACACGCTTTTTGAACAACTGACAACCATTGTGTATAGGCCGGGGGTAAACGGAGAAACAGACGGGGAGCAGAAAATAAACGTACGCACGACATAAAACTCAGACACAAAAAGTCGGACGAGCTACTGCTACCATAATACATTGTTCGATCGAGAGAAGACAGATGGGAGGATGCAGTATATCAAAATTTTAAGATTGAAAAACAATCAAATCTTAAAAGGAAAAAAAAAGAAGAACGATTAGATTATTTATAATGGAGATGTTTTACACTCCCGTTCAGGGGTGGGGCGCACTTGGTTCAATTGATGCAAGCGCTCCTCCTAACCCTGGCCTTCCTTTTCTACTTGTTCTAAATCAGTCAGTGCTGTTGATCTACATTACTACATCCTATCGATCTGTCACCCGCTGGCTGCGCCAGTGAAGAGACAGACGGCGAGGGTGGTTTAAAATGCTCGTAGCACCGCTTGCGGTAGCGTCTGCTTGGAGCAAGCAAAATCTTTGCACCAAAGTAATTTTGTCACTCCAGAGAAAACTAGGCATAGTTCTTCCCGCACAAGAAGAAAGGTGCATGAAACTCCTCTTCTAAGCACCAAATTTGGTGCAAGCAAAAAATTTGATCCAAGTTTCCGCTAGCCTATTCACCAGGGTTGCCAGATTGGATTATTTTTATCCAAACTGCTCATTTTTTAAATTATTTTCGAGTCGTTTGGACTATGATTTTTTTTATTTTGTTTTGTTAGGATTTTGGATTATTTTTGGATTTTTTTTCACTAGCTGTCTCAATTAGTAAGTGAAAAAAAAAAAGAAATATACATAAAAAACAAATTAAAGGAAAACTCTTTCATGGTATAGACACTGCATGTAGATTACTTCAAACCTGGCACTTTGATGCAGGGTTGCCAGAATTTTGATGAAGAACCCGACGAAGAGGACATTTCCTTGTTCGTTTTGGGTAAGTTTACTAATTTTCAGGGTTTGGATAATTTTTTTTTTTAATTGGCTTATTTTTGCCAGCAGTTTGGATTTTTTGAGAAAAAAATTCTTGCAACCCTGCTATTCACAAGGCCTACACTAGTCTACGCTAACTCAATGAAGAATGGGTATCGAAACTGTTGTCTCCCTCTATTGTGTAGCAAGTCCTGTTAATGTATATCTTCAAATTGAGTCTGGTTGTTGGTGCTGCTCGAAGTAATTAGAAATCTTTAAATCTTCTGAGATTGTGAGCATAGTGAGTTGTTAGTATTGTTTCACTTTATTGCAGCTTTTATGCGGTTTCATCTAGATCTAGATCTAGAAACTGTTATGAATATCGATAGATATAGATTACGGGAGATATATATACATTATAATACGTACATGCCATCAGACTCAGTCTCTCTCTCTCCCCCTCTCTCGCTCTCTCTCTCTCTCTCTCTCTCTCTCTCTCTCACACACACACACACACACACACACACACACACACACACACACACACACACACACATACATACACACACACACACACACACACACACACACACACACACACACACACCCCACACAGACTCGCAGAAAGCAATAGAAAAAACTGACCACACCAGAGCGCCCGCCAATCGCTCATTACAATTTTAATAGTAGCTAGTAAGCCTATTGCCCATTTGCTCACTTTCCAATTATGCACCTCCTTGCCTGCTACCCACGCGACGCCCCTGCCCCCGTTGACACAGTTTACCCCATTTAGGAGGCGGTTTTTAACCCTGCCTAACAGAATCAACCCGAACTGAGGGTGACAGAACCTCCAAATAGAGAGAGAGAGAGAGAGAGAGAGAGAGAGAGAGAGAGAGAGAGAGAGAGAGAGAGAGAGAGAGAGGGGGGGGGTGGAGACCAAGAATGACCATAGATGCTTTGCGAAGAAAGAAGGGCAAAACGCTTACCTGAAAGTGCGAGAGGCTTGAATGTCGAACAGTCGCCAACCACTACGTCATCAATAGCGATATCGCTCAAATATTTGGGACCAAGTCTTGCCTCGATCGTCACCTGAAACATCAGTATTAATAAACTACCTTGACCTTAAAAAACTCCGGGCGAGTGACGCTAGCCACAGGCGGCATATTTATTTCACTTAGAGCCCTTCACACCTGACTTAATGCACAGTCTTACAACATACTCCGAGGCACTGCTGTAAGTATTGGGGGACTCCGGAGGGCATGCAGGAATTGCAGCCAAAACAGCCTTCAAATAAGAAAATCTATGTACGTCGATGTGGAGCAGAAAATTGATGTGGCACGTTAAAACAAGGGAGGTCGCAGTTTGTACTATTTTTGCCTTCAGGATGCTTACAAGCTCCTCACATGATATGCAGATCATTTGTTTGCCCCAGAATGTGGCATTCAATCTGTGTGCAAGACATTTCTATTATTCCCTTTCTTATTGTCATGCGGTGCTTGTCTGTATTCTTGTGTACGCCTGCTTCTCATCTATTGTTCTTCTTCTCTTTCTCTTTCTCTTTCTCTCTCTCTCTCTCTCTCTCTCTCTCTCTCTCTCTCTCTCTCTCTCTCTCCCTCCCTCTGCCTCGTTGACATTGATGGGCATTCTTCAATGCTACGTTTTTATACTAATCCACTTCCGGAGCAATACCATGCTGACTCTCCGTGCTCTGCAAATGATAAACCCTAAAACCACTATGTCTATCCATTTATCTATCTACCTATCTATCTATCTACCAATCTATCTATCTATCTATCTATCTATCTATCTATCTATCTATCTATCTATCTATCTATCTATCTACAGTTACAACGCACAGTCGCCATATTCACAAACAGCTGATGTCCCCAACTCACATGGAAAGGTTGTGACACGTTCCCCAGATCCAGCAACACTTGCCTCCACACCTGACCCTGATCCCCCTCTAGAGAGAAGACCTGGTCCTCCGGCTTCACTCCACTCACATCCAACATGGTATTGTATACAGTCAAGCCGCCCATGCCGCTGCCGTACATGTAGGTGAAAAACCTGTGCATATAAAAAAACGAATTATGCATATCTTCAAACGAATAAATAATAATATGTACATAAAAATAATATACATGAGTGTTCCTTTTAAAGACGCTTTTAAAAAGGGGGGGGGTAAATTTGTTTCAATGGTCTGGTGTCTTTGATAATGTTGGATGAATTCTTATTTGATAAGTCACGTCAGCAGAATCCATGGTGCCGGAAAAGTAATCAGGCAAGTGTTCACTTTAAGAAAATAGAATTTGCCAGGAATAAACTTTGTAAACCATCAATATACTTTAAATAAAAAACATTAATTTATCAATAGAAGAAGACTTTGGTCAACAATTTAAAAAAGGGTGTAGATTGTGATGATAATAATAATATTGAATAATAATAAACGGCATTTTTATTCCTCATTTACCCGTTAAATAGCAAGGTCTATGCGCTTTACAATCTATATTATTAGCAGACCGTAGAACACTCAGAACAATTCTCCAGTGCAAGCAGCCATTTACGCGCTCAAACACTAACAAACTGACAAGATCTTCAGCTGCCTAAATCCCGGTTCCCATCCCCACCTGGGCGAAGTGAAGAAAATTCGGGTACAGTTTCTTCCCTAGGAACACAACATTGGACCCCTGACGGGGTTCGAGCCCATGACCTTTCATATTTTATGAGATCAATAACCTTGCCATTTGACCACCGACACCATCAGTATAGAAACTATTGAACACACGTTTATGCGAAAAGAATGACAATGTTTGTGTATGATGGTGCAAAACCAAGTATCTGATGGGTTAACTTCTAGTTACGTTTAATCTGGTGGCAACTATGTCACAAATCGAGATCTAAAATTCCTGCGACCATTGGAGAACTATTTTGATTTTTAATAGGTCTCGTACCTTTGATAGTTTATGAGAAGTTTAAAGACACATTTGTTGAAGCATATTCTATGCCAGAAGTTGATTTTTCGTGTGTGTGAGAATGTGCATGGGTCGGGAACTTTTGTGTGTTTGCTCACACGAGCGTTCGTGTGTGCATGTGTGTGTGTGTGTGTGTGTGTGTGTGTGTGTGTGTGTGTGTGTGTGTGTGCATGAGTGCGTCTTGTTGTTTGTGTTGTTGTTGTTGTTGTTGTTGTTGTTGTTGTTGTTGTTGTTGCTGTTGGTGTTGCTTTTGTTAAATGGTCTCATAGCGTGGCTTTTCTGTCTTTCGATTTGTCAGTCAAGTTAATATGGGGTGCCCACTACAGATGGGATCGGCTGATCAGGCCGATCGCCCGACACGGTCGCCTTAAAAGCGAAGGTGTTTGTTTTCAGTTTCAGGCGCCCAAGTCGGGCGATCGGCCCGATCCAGTCGTAGTGGGCACCCCGTATGAGGGATAATTTTGCGTTGCACAGCGCACAGAACCCTTTTGGAGACTAGGTGCTATATAAATTCCCATTATTAATCAGATTTTGAGCACTGAACATCCCCTCTTCACTGCGAAAAAGCTGAAATACAGTACATTGCATTCAAAAGACACTTACGCTAAACAGACTCTGTCGGCACTTGGGAAATCCAGCACAGGGGAAATCAGACGAGCCTTCAAATCAGGTTTCTGGAAGGACGCTTCAACATACATATAACCTCCTGGAACACACGCTGACGCTGTCATTATCATCATCATCATCATCATCGTCACCTTCAACAACAACAACAACAACAACAACAACAACAACAACAACAACAACAACAGCAGCAGCAGCAACAGCAACAATAGTTAAGCGAAATAGAGTAGTAGCAGTATTTTGATTAGTATGATTTTGATTATGATTATGGTTATTATCGTTATCTGATTGGTAGTAGTAGTAGTAGTAGTAGTAGTAGTAGTAGTAGTAGTAGTAGTAGTAGTATCATTATTATCATTATTATCATTTTTATTTATGCTATTCTTTATTATCAAACACTTGAAATTATGATCCCAGAATGCCCGAAATGATCAGTTAGTTTGCCTCTTCAAAAAAATTACTCACTTGATATCTAAGGACAAAATTGCGACTTTTCGCGTAAGGAATAACCTTGACCTCGCCTATCAAAGATGACCTACCAGTCTGTGCTGCAATGATTATGGTCTGCGTCGTTGCTTGTCGAAGACACGTCTATTCCAGTGTAGGAGAACCGTTATCGAGTATCCCTATCTTTCAACTAAGATGCTTTATCCTGTTCACCCTGGAATATTCCTGACAGAAAAGGTCGAAGCTGCCCTCCGTAACAAATGTTATTGGAGGAGGTCTGCATTTTCTGCGAGAATTAGAGAACTACTTTAAACAATCTAAATTGTATTGATGGTGAAGAAACACATTTTCAATTTTTAAGAAACAGGCATTCGTTTGTACTACAAGTTATCCCTAATCTGTAGTGCCGAATGCGAAGGATAGCACATATTATCTCACCATTGCGTGTGTTGAGCGTGTGGTCTGCGGGTGGTCCTGTGTCCTCAGTCAAGGTGGACCCAGCATTGGCTGTCCAGTCCAGGTTGTCATCCGTGGCCTGAGTCCAGCCACAAAGTCGGCCTAGCCTTCGGTCAAAGTTACAGTAGTGCACAGCGCCGGTGTTCCTTGTGCCTTGATTGAAACATACAGTTTTGTCAAAGCATTCAGGTTTAATAATATTTTATAGAATAGGCCTCTTTAAAAAGTTGCGTTGACTATTGTTCTTTTTCTGTGTTAGGATGAGGGAGGGGGCTGTACAGAATTATGAGTTTTATTCTGAGAGCATTTGCCTCGACTGTTATCATACTTTTCTTTTGTCTTAAAGAAACTACATATTTTATTATTTGCCATGGATGTCTGCATAGAAAGTATGAGTATTTTTTAAAGTGTTTTACGGCGCTCGCAACTGCATAAGGCCATATGAGCGCGCGGGACACATTAAACATTTTTAGTTGGTAGGAAATGTTTGATTTTGCCCGGGTGGCGGCCGAAGCCTACTCTGATCTCTTTTAGACCACCAAGGGATCTTTAACGTGCGCAAATTGCACACAGGTCCTCCGAGATTTTTCACCCTTGTCCGAGAAGGCTAAGTGTAGATCTTTCCTACCAGAAAATCAGGGGTGTGGCTGAAAGACAGAAGTAAGAAGGAGCCAAGAAGTAGCCGTAGAAAGGCTACAGAAAGAGTCAGGAGCCCAGAGTCAGGAGCAAAGAAGGGGAGGGGTGGGGGCAGAAAGGAGAGACGAAAGCAAACGACAGAACATAGCTAGAGAGCAGGATATGAGGTGAAAGGAGACAATTTTAGAGAAGAAAATTTTTCCATCGCTACCCGGATTCGAACTCAGGACCTTTCAATGAGAGGCAAACACCTTAACCTCTAGGCCACGAGAGCCCCCCTATGAGTATTTATATTGGAAATCCCTAGAATACTTTTAAAAACGATAAAGAAAAAGGTTCGGTAGTTTTCTAATATAGAATATTAATGATATGACCGTACGTGTATATATATACAGTCGAGCCTACAATGACCCCCCCCCCCCCCCTTATATTACGGCCACCCGTACAAACATCCTTTGTGTTTTCCTATTGTTATGTAAAACGGTAACCTGTTCAAACCTCATGTTATCAACCAACAACCAAAACTACGTAACTAAGATGGCCATGTAAATCTCTCATAACCCTACGCACTGTCATAATGTATGTATGGGTTCCTGAAGCCGTGGAAGAGACGTAATAATCTATCCCCCTGTCGTTAATGTTGGTCCCTCCAATGAATAAATTACTCATGTTAAGTAGGTCCCTCCCACCGTTTACCTAAGTTGAACAATAGGTAACGATAAATTTATTTCAGTTACTGCTGAGGGAAGCGTGTGATTTGTCATAACCTATATAAGCTCCACCCACAACTCGTACACAAATCGTGAGATAAGCTGTCACTGTTTACCCAGTTCGTAACAATGGACGTCAACATGGACTTGCTACAGATGTGTGGTTCGTTCTCCGAGTGGTGACAACCCATGTGTTTGTTTTACAATGGCACTCGGTCTTTCATGTCTGACATTATTTCGCTTTATTTTACCCTTGCCCAAAAATGGCAACAAAAAAAGTAACCATGCGAGTGTGTGTAGGGGGTGGGGGGTGGGGGTGGAGGGTGGTACGTTGTAATAATAAATCTTCACAGACTATCTATATGCTGGACAACTCACCGAGGCAGGCCGGTGAGTCCCCCGTCCACTGCCCCAGGTCCCGACACACTCTCTCGGACGCCCCGACCAGGGTGTAGCCGCTGTCACATCGGTAGAGGACTCGAGCCCCAACAGAGAAGTCTCTTCCATCTATTTGTCCGTTTTTCAGTGGTTGGGGGGAGCTGCAGTTGGTGATGTCTGGGCGGAGACAAAAGAGGGTAAAATAAGTGATTTTGCTTTTGTAAGAGATTTACAGATTAAGTTCTCTTTGATCTAATAAAGGGTTCAATTAATTTTTTCGAGGAATTAATGGTCTAAAAAGTAAGATACAATCGGCACTTGCAAAACAGTTAGTTCATTTAAGTTCCAAAGATTAAAAGTGTCACAACAGAGGGGGGGGGGGGGTTGTTGTTGTTGTTTTTTTTGTTTTGGTTTGGGTTTGGGTTTTTTTGGGTTTTGGGGGTTTTTTTGGGGGGTGGTAAGTGTTTTAAGGCGCTAGCAACTGCATATTAAGGTCATATGAGCACGCGGGTATATTAAACATTTTTAGTTTATAGGAAATTTTGAATTTGCCCGGATGGCGGTAGGAGCCTACTCTTATCAATTCTAGGCCACCAAGGGATCTTTAACGATCTTAGAGGCTAAGAGGTATGATTTATCGTTCTTGTTGACTCCACATACCATTCTGTCTCGGAATCATTAAGTTTAAAGTACTGCTGTATTTACCTCTATAATTTCAAATGTATGAATAGAGTGTATGAATTGTGTTCTAATATTACGACAGATTGAGATACGTAAATGAGACAAAAATCGTTTGTCTGTAAAAATCATAGGGCATTCGAAAGACTCTGCAATGCATCAAGTAGCTGTGAATAACGCGAAAATCGTGAAAGTTGAAAAGAAAAGTCGAATGAGCCTAGCTCTACATAGACATTGGTCGTCACCCTTCCCGACATTGAGCGTAAAAGAGATATTTCAGGGAAAACGTGAAAAAAGTAATACACAACGATTTGGAATCCGAACCTCGAATTTCTGTGTTACATGTCAAGTCTATAAACCCCTTGGCCAAAATCTGTCCGTTTTCTTACAACGAAGATCAGTAAGGGCGCCACCTGAAACTATGACTGACCTGCCCAAATAATCTGTCACTTAGTTTGCTTTGCAAGCGAGGGACGCAATTTCACTTAGGGAAGATAATACTTTATCAAGCTGAGCTGTTCAGCCTTTCTGTAAAGATGTATCCAAACCAAACAGACAAAGTTAGCCTTAACTAGCATGGTCGAAGAGGTCCACCTCCTAAAGGTTTTAGATCGTGTCAATGGGGGCTATAGTAATATATGATGTTTCATACAAGACTGATCCCACAGCCACAAACAGAAACTAAAGCCTTTTAAAAGTTTGTTTACAGTACTTTCGTATACTTAGCAAGTATCGTGTCTTTTCTTTTGGGATGGTTGGTTTAGTAACACAAATAGGTCAAATAAATGGCTAGGATTAGAAATGTTGCTTGATGGCCATATACAAAAGAAAAAAGGAGGGGAGATGAGGACAACAGATGTGTGATAGGAAAAAGAGCTAAACTAATTTTAAATCTTTTTTTTATGGACGTTGTACGTGAAAAAACGCAATAAGCTGTTTAAAAAAAAAACACGCTCATACAAACACAAATAAGATATTCCTTTTTTTAAATTATAGGAGCCGAAGAAGTGTCTAAACCAATGGTTCTTAACTTGAGTTTTATGGAGCCCCAAAAGGGAATTGGCAGAGATCAAGACATGTATCTGAGTACGTGCGTGTGTGTGTGTGTGTGTGTGTGTGTGTGTGTGTGTGTGTGTGTGTGTGTGTGTGTGTGTGTGTGTGTATGTGTGTGTGCATCTATGAGTGTGTATATGCGCGCATGTGTGTGTGTTTGTGTGTGTATATGTGTGAGTATATGTGTGTGTGTGCGCGCGCGCGTGTGTGTGTGTGTTCCATTGACTCGCAATCGTATTGTCATGGGTTCGAATCCCATCAGGGCCCTTCGTTGTGTCCTTTGGAAAGGTACTTTACACGAACTGTCCTCACTTCACCCAGGTGGGAATGTCTACCCACCTATAGACAACGAAAGTTCTTGTCAGTTTGTTAGATATTAGTGTTTGAGCGCTTAATGAGCTGCTTGCACTGTTACGTCTCGGGATGCTGAGAGTGTTTCTGAGAGTTCTATGGTCTGCTAATGTAATAATATAGTGTAACGGGCAGAGAGCTTGCTGTTGAGCGTGGGTATGTGCTGCACAAATTTTATTTTTTAGGAGTATTTACCCCACGTGTAGGGTTTGGTGAATGCACGTATGGAAGTTTCAAGGTTCATAATCTCCAACAAGGTTAGGAAACACTGCCCGAGACTATAGTCGCTATACAAATGCTATCTATTATTATTTATAATTATTATAGTGGCTCAGAAGTACCCATACTCAGGGGTTTGATTACACGCCCGTTGTTGCAGAGATAAGAGAAGCACGAAGTACAAAATGATTGATGCCTATTTATTGTTTTGATACTATGTTAGTAACAAATATCTAAGTACATTTCAAATTAAGGACAGTGAGGATGGATGGGCCAAGGAAAATAAAATTGCACCTTACCACACCTATACAAGGCGTTGAGCTTGTCGATATCTCCAGGAGACAAACCAACACGCTGGCCCATCACAACACCTGGTGGCAGTTTCTGGCACAAATTTAAAAAAAAACAATAATAAAAACTGTTTGTGAATGAAGCTACCTGCGGGGGGGGGGGGGTGTTCGTTTTTTCTTGGGGTGGGGTGTTTGTTGTTCGTTTTTGTTGCTGTTGTTGTTGTTGTTGTTGTTGTTGTTGTTGTTGTTGTTGTTGTTGTTGTTGTTGTTGTTGTTGTTGTTGTTGTTTGGGGTGGGGCTTTGTTGTTTTGTTGTTGTTTTCTTTCTTGGGGTGAGTTGTTTGTTTGTTTGTTTTGCTCTAAACCTTGCTTATCGTAGAAAGTAGAAAGGTTCAATTCAGCTGTTGAGCACTAGGTTTAAAGATTACTGAATAGAACAACAAAAAAGAAAACTAAAAAGAAAGATACAAACGCCGAAGAGATCACAAAAGGCGCACATCTCAACCTCTATGGTCATTAGTGTGGCATGCACCTCTTGCGTGTGTGCAGTGGGGCTGCTTGTCATCCCAGAGACTTAACTAATTATTATTAATTTAGGACACGCTTTCTGATCATTTAATTTTGAAGCTTGAAGACACCCTGTTTTGGGGCACTATCAGTAAGAAACATAACCTCCGTTATTCGCACTGTTTTTCAAAGATTTTTAAAACCTCAAACTTAAAAAGGCACACTGCAGCATGCATACTATAAAATATAAAAATTGGCATGTCTCATGCGTTTATAAATATTTCGAAATGTGCTGCAAACATGAACTCTTGGTCCGCTCGCCGGACATGTGTCTTTTACGTTCTTAAAACGCTAACACAGAAATGCTAGATCTATATCTTGTTTCCCGAGTATCTTCCGAAAGCCAAGCAATTTTAAATTTTAGAGCAAAAATATGTGCCATACTTTAGGCCGTAGTAACATTTGGTGGAATATTATATGGACATAATGACCTGGCAGCCAACATCTGGGGCCACATTCCTCAACACGCTTACTTTATCTCTTTCAGTTACATCTTGTTCAGACAAACGTTCGCTGTGTAGGGGTTGGGCGTACGCTGTCGCACGCGAGAGACCAAAGTTCGATTCCGGGGTGGGGGAGGGGGGGGGGATTTTCAAATAGTATCTCAGTCATTTTGTTGGTTTTGCTGGGACGTTGTATACGCTCTCAATCCGGGTTAGCCTTGTCAGGCATAATCGAAGCCAGCCTCTTAAATGATCTAAATTGTATCGATAAAGGCGTAAAAAAAACGATATAATATTTTTTTTTAACTAGTTCATATTGTTGTTAGATCAGATCGAGGGCTCACCTGTCTGGACACCAGAGTTGGTTTATGTCTGTCTAAAGCGAACGTGTTGTTAGAATAGTGCATCACAGATCCATAGTCGTAAGGCATGGAAAGGAAAATCTCATGGCTGTGGACCCGGTTTCGAATTTCAAAGTTCTCTCTGTGTTCTGAGGAATAACACAAACGCACATGCACACCCGCATATTAAAGTCCTCACATTCGCAAATAGTCAAAACTAGTGTGATAATATGATGTTCTGTGTATTCGCAAGGAAAAGTTCTACCATCATTAGACAAAATAACAAAGTGCTGTAGCTATTCGCCCCTGCACGCAGAAAACCTGAGTTCGATTCCCTTGTGAGGAAAATTTTCATTGAATATCCCGGTCTTTCTTCTGGGGCGTCTAACTTCCGTCGATAGGGACGTGAAACACTAACATTAGGGAGCAAAGACCGAATCCACATGTACAGGTATTGGAATCAAAGATATCCATTAGTCTGACGGTACAAGCGGAAATGGAAAAGGCGGGGACATCATGGAAACAGCTAGAAAAGGATGCACAGGACAAACTGCGCAGTAGAAATGTTGTTGGTGGCCTATGCTCCACTGGGAACTAAAAAGGGAAAGAGAGAAGAGAGAAGAGAGAGAGAGTCTGACGCACAAACATGCAAACAAATTGGCGTACACGCATAATCAAAGTACAAGAATTAATAGTGAATATGATGAGAGAGTGTAAGATAAAAGATAGGATTCTACAAAAACACAAAGTCAACACATTTCGTGACGCCAGAGATTTCAGAGAGGGTGTTAGACTGAATTTAGTGAAATGCTCTGTTTCTGTTGATTTTAAATTCTGATTAATTATGACCCCCAGTTTTTTTAATAGTTATAAGCTGCAGGTAGGATTTTTTTTAAATAAAGGAAATTAAATTCACCAAACAAAATAATTCTTAAAACGTAAAGCATATGTAGATGTACGCCTATAGTACGACCAGCAACAGTCTTGAAAAGACTAGAGAAAACTGGAAGACGGACAGTAAAGTACGATCAACAAAAATATTTTACTCCCGGACACACAGGCAAACATGTTAACAACTCTGCATTCGATATAGACACGCTACATCGGTGTCAGTTGAAGCAACATTTTATAGATGAACAAAGATAACACTTTTAAATTCAAGGAAATTAGTTTAGAGATCTGAGGGAAATAGTGTAAGGTCAAAAAGAAAAGACAGAAGAGAAGAGAACGCTTCTTCGAGTTCTCGCTCACTCTTCATAAAGACTACAATAGTATGCTTCGTAGGGAGTTATGCTTCAATAGCAGCAACATTTCCACCAAACCTTAACTTACTCACTGACCTTTGGGAATATTGTCCCACATGACCGTTATGTACTCATTTCTGTCTATGCGGCTGTGCTCATGCCATAGACCCAACAAGTGCAGAATTTCGTGGATGATCGTGCCGTGTCGCAGGCAGCCGTCGCCCAAGGACACCTCCTGCAAACCACCTTTCAAACCTACTGAGCTGTAGCAACTGTAAATAGTAACAACGATAGATAAGACTTAAGTTTAGGTTTAATTTTAGTAAGGGTTTCACAGCACTCGCAGCACAAATAGATTATATAAGTGCCGAGGTTTAGAGATGTCACTAGAGAGTAACCCAGGCAGAAAGAGGAAAGATGAAGACGAGAGTAAAGAAAGACCAAACTACACAAGAGATCCCGCCAACCAACCACTTAAATGGGACACTCTGTGAAACCATTATAATATATAATGTTGGCCTACACTGCAAATAGCTCTGGTTCGAATTCTAACGGGTACTTTCTTAAACGTGGGTTGTTCAGGTAATTCGAGTGGCTCTATATCCACTTTACTAGATTCTAGGGGGAGGGGGGGGGGGCTCTAGCGGTTATGGTATTCGTCTTTCATTCAATAGGTCTCGGATTCGAAACCTGACACGACGGCACATTTTCTTCTCTAAAATGTTCTCCTTCCACCGCCTTTCCTACTCTCTAACCATGTTTTGTCGTCTGCTTTCGTCTCCACTTTTTGCCCAAACACCCCCCCATCTTCTTTGTCCCCTCCTCTGGGCTCCTGACTTTTTCTGTAGCCTCTCTACTGCTACTCCTTGGCTCTTTCTTAATGCTGCCTCTCAGCCACACCCCTGTTCGCCCGCATCCTCTTTAAGTACATTCAAATCCAAGAGAGATAAGGACCGTGCTTAATTGAAAAAGCCTTCAGCATGCGAGTATATTATGTGTCTAGTAGATAATAGTTGTTTCACCGCAAGAGAGCAGCCGGT